TGTCGCCACTTCTGTTTCCAGCTGTTCGATTCGTATTCACCAATTGAAAGCCCAACAAAAATGAGGCTTACAATTCCGGCCTTCCACTTTCTAGACTGCTTCAGGGTCACAAAGATGTGGAGCCTTTCCCAACTGACTTTGGACAAAAGCCAGACCTCACCCTGGACCGGTCTGGTCCTCAATCAGCTGCAGGGAACACAAAGAGACAAATACCCACTCAGCGCACACTTGTCACTGGGTGGGAACTGAACCCACGCTGCCTGTACCAAAGTCAGGCGAATAGACAACCACTACGCCATCAAAAACCGAGGCTTGAAACTATTTGACGAGTTAGCCGGCAGAGTCCGAGACAAGTACAATAATCTGAATAAACGGACACGGCTGGCATTGGTTGGCTGGAATAGAAGCGAGCAATGAAGTTTAAGGGATATCGCTCCAGCTTGCGATAAGAGGCTGCCCGTGTCAATAACGACGGGTCTTTGCACCAAGCCGAGTGCATGAATTTGTGTGTGAGCATGACAGAGAGTTTAGGCGAGGTTCACACGCAAGTTAAATGGCAGCTACTGCTGTGGGCTTTAATAACAGCCACATGAATACAACAGACACACGCACACACACACACTGGTGGGCCCACGTAGTGAAGAGCGCAGTAGGACACCTCTTTCTGTCTTCCGAACAAAGGCTCGCTCTGAGCCGCAGTCATGTGACAGTTGTTCCCATTGTTCACTTCGGGCCAGGGGTGGTTTGACTAATGCACTTGTGTGCGCTGTGTGTGCGTGCAAAAGTTTTTGCGCGCACGCCAAAGCAGGAAGACGCTTTTAGCCAGCCAGAGGAAACGCCGCAGTCCCAAAGCAACCTACTTGTTTGTGTCGGTCTTCCCTTATTGTCTTCTGTGGCGTTTGTAGAGGGAGAGCATTGGCATTCGACACCCAAACATTGCAATGTGCTTCCATTGCCTCTTTATAATCCAGATGACTAAAAGACGCACGAGAGACCGCTGAATCTGTAAACCCTTCGATAGTGAGCCGTACATCCCCATGTTTTGAAAGCGCCACTTCTGAGTATTCATTTATGACAGCCTTCTTCCTCACCGGTGCTTGCTTAGGAGTCACGCGCGGCTTTGAGCGACAACCGTAATACTACACCAGATATGGTCGTCATCTGCGTTTTATTGCAAGTAATCCTCTCCAATGAGCTGCCTGCTGTCTAAATGTCAACGCTGCCATTTCCTCTTCCTGCTCATATGGACTTGTTTCCCACCCAATGCCGAGTGTACTGTTTAGAGCTTCTTTTTTTTTTTTTTTTTTTTTCAACCAAAGCGCTTCAATGGATGTGTAATGTGGCATGAAGGGTTTTATTAGTTATTGAGTGAAAGGAGCTTCTCGTACTGCAAAAGAGCTGCTATGCGTCTGAAGGATAGTTGACGCGATGTCCTGCTGTCAACCTACTTGACCTGTAATTGCCATGCCCAAAACAAACATGGCCACATGGACACTACATATTTCAAGAGCACCGATTTTGGCTCAATTACAAATTGTCTGCCACTGAAATCAATCTTTAACATACAGTAAATCATATCTGGTATCTCTTCGTTTCCACAGACATAGAAGAGGAAGGAATTTCGCTCTTGAGGTCTTCATAGAGCAAATAAAATCTTGGGATTTACATCATTGCTATCAGCATAATCTAAAATACAGTACGTAGTTGTGTTCACACCCAGTCAGACAGATCAGTTAAACATCCATCTGAATCCTAACGGTGATTCAACTGTTGCGCATCCTCAACTTGTCTATACAGGAAATGAAATCTGACTTTCGCTTCTTGAAGCCCAGATGCCTCAAAAAACTTCTGCCACCAAGAAACATAACTGAAGTGACTGCCAACCATGCAGAAATCAGAACAAATATGTTTTCCCAGACAGCGCAAGGGCGCTCGCCATAAAAACGGGCTCATTTTCATTTTTGTGACTCGTTCACTGTGTTTGGAAATTTGGCAGGGTGCGCTTCGCCATGCTGGGCGTTACGGTAGACCAAGGGAGTTTTCTTTCACATGCCCCCGCTGCACCTGACCATTTAGTGACTGAAAGCAGACTACACTGGAGACTCAGTAAAAGCAGGTCTAAGTTGTGGCGCAGGGGGTGCAACACAATTTTGGGGAATTTGATGGAGGCACAGGCAAAGAAACGCTTCACTAAAAAGGCACTTGCTTGGTTCATCAATCCACAAAGGAACGCCCTTCCTTTGTGAGAGGCATCTCAGAAGAAAGGGGCATTCCTTTGAAGACAGCAATATCCAAATTCCGGAGAAAGAGGATCGCTGGTTTGAAAGAGGTGTGAAAGAAACCGTCACGAGATGGGCCCTCTCCAAACAGAAGAGGAGCTTTGTGCCATCAAATCTCGTCTACTTGCAACAATGTTCTGACGTCTCTCCCCCTTCTTTCCTGTCTCACTGCACGGGAAGGATGGCCACCAAGAAGCTGTTTTTTCATCCGGCAGGTGAACGACCGGTTGGTTTTCCGGACCGTCGTTCACCAGTCACGCCTGGCAACAACAACAACCGTATTGTGATGACCACCCCCCCCCACCCCCCCCACCCCCCGGGGCATACATCACCAGAGCCATAAACAGGGAGACTGAAAAAAATGTTGACCTGAAGCAATCTTCTGGATGAAAGGTGAAATGTCTTCGACAAACAAGAGTACAATTGCCTCAGTTCAACCTTTCCCACAGATGTGTACAATCATGTGGAGGACTGTTCATCTACGTGGCCTGAAGTTCGCTAAAGATCAGAAGAACGGTGTTATGGCTTAAGAGCACACTCTGTCAAAGTACAGAGTGCAACTTGCAACTTGTACCAGACTGACCGTGTGTGAATTCATTCACTGAGAGTCATCCTTTCTCCCCGAAAGGAGGGATGTGTGCCTAGCAGATGGTCAGGGCCACACACACACACAGCTGACCGTCCCTGGGGGTCTTATAATAGGTCCTCTTGTCGCCATTGTGCCCCTCGCAGGAATCCCCAGTCTGACCCAGCGTGCCTCCGCTGGACCTGAATTGGTTTTACAGTGGTTTTTGTGGGGTGAATAAACTTTGCTTGTCATGCGAGGAAGGCATGGGGCGGTCAGCTGTGCCTGATACTCAACCTGTCTTTGCATTTTAATTGGCATTGTCATCTCAATAGAAGCCCCCCCCCCTCCCCCCCACGTTGTTCTCCTTCCTGTTTGAATAGCGTTAATACTGTAGTTGAAGGGGCAGGTTGCACATGGTCAAAGTGATCGTCTACACCGAGGAGAGCACAAGTCTCAAGGACTTTCATTGTCTGTACTCAAGCATGAGTTGGGTGTTGACACGGGAACTGTGAAATCTCTTTCCACCATCTCTTCGGTGTGTCTGGAAACTGGAGATATTTTGGCGTGCGCATGATGATGAAGCGCGGCATGATGAGTGATTCCATGCAGACAATAGTACATCGTCGAGTCATCATCATGCAGTAGGGGAATTTATCAGGAGCGCGTTCAGATTTCCATCAGTGCCAAACAGTTTGCCCTGTACAATTTGTTGTTGCCAACATCGCTTCTCAGCCGGCTGACAGAACCCCGTGTGCATAAATAAAGACATTCTCTTTCTCGACAAGAGTTGTGTCAATACGTAAATAAAAACCGAATATGTTGATTTGCAATTTTCAAACTACATCCAGCTTAGTGCACTTAAACAAGATATTTCAGGTTCAAACTGATTCAATATAATATTAATTTGGGGCAAATCTTCACTTATTTTTAATTTGATGGCTGCCACACTTTCCAAAAGAGCTGCGACGTGGGCACGTTTACCAAAGAGTTATGTCATCTTGCCTTTTAACACCTCTAAATGAGCACTTGGCAACTGAGGACACTAATTGTGAAAACTTGCAGGTGGAATTCTTTCCCATATTTGCTCGATGCGTAACTTCAGCCGCGCATCAAGCAAAAATGCCATTATTATTCTCATGCGGTGTGCACTGATGCAGCTGTTTTGAGACCAGAATCTAACTGACCTAATCCTGGAATTGACCCGCCTCATGTTTAGAATACCAGTGTTTGTTCGAACCATTCTTTTCCCTCACCACCACATGCAGACTATTTATAGGCATCCAATTCAAAATGCAGAATTCATAAAGGCACGCTCGCTATCTTATCCTGATCATTCCGTGACAGCCATTGTGATGTGATGTCTGCTTCACAGCCTCAGTAGTATTCAGATGGTCATCCATTAAACGCATGAATCCCTTGAGCTGCCTTTGGAATTGACTCGCGGAACCCAACATTTGAAACCAATGCCTGTCATGATGTCATGAAAGGGCAGGAATGATCACCCTGAGGGGAATGCGTGCTTTATGTCCATGACAATGCGAAAGGGTGTGTGAGCATACGGATGGCTGCGCCGACACCTGTTGCACTCATTCTCTTCATGTGTGCAAAACATTTCTTCACAGTAAAAAGTGCGTGTGTGTGTGTGTGTGTGTGTGTATTTCAGACCAGATAACCGTGTCAGATATGATGTAAAGCAGTTAAGGCTTACGTTACGTTACCATATGTTGACCCTCAGGTCGCTGAAAAGGGATATGTGATGATATATTCAACATTTTCTCACTGTCAGCAGAACAGCAATCGAGTGGTTAGCAGGTACGCTTCATAGTTCCAAGGTCCGGGTTTGAATCTGTGCTCCAGCTTTCCTGTGTGGACCGCATGTACTCCCTGTGTCGGTGTGGCGTTGCTCGAGGCAGTCATCCTAATGAGGATACACACTGAATAATTTTCTGCCCTTGAAGTAAATCAGAGCAAGAGTGGAGAGCCCTGACCTCAACCATATCAAATACCTGTCATTCAATACGAGAGAGCGTTTAGTTCCTGCCGAATTCACGAACAGACCAGTGCCTTTGTCCGTTTATCAAAAGAGATTCATTTCATGACGAAGACGTGTTCTCACAATGAAACTGATGGTTTGCGTCGTCTTTGTCGTGCAGAGTGGAGGATGATGGCCGAGGGGCGTTTTGCCAGCCTGCCCAGGTCGCTCCATGCACATCACACGCTAGGAGGCACGTCGCATATCCACGTCCCTGCGCTCGGTGCTCCCGCTGGGAGTCGCTGCCCCTCAAGAAAGCTGCAAGCCTCCATTACCTCCTCGATGGACCTTCTCAGCTCAAGACCAAGGTGGGCCAGACTGCCTCTTTTAACTCGTACTTCATATTATTCAAAGAACTATGAAGCAAAAGACTTTTTTGCCCCTCTATCTTCCTTAGTCTCGCTCCGGGATGTCATGGATCGGAGTTCCCCGCAGCTTCTTACCAGCACATTTCCATTCATGGAACTCTGCCTCGACGTAAGAAGGGAGGCTCCACCAACACCTGGGACCCCAGAGACCATCACACTCAGTCAGTGCTTAGCGGGAGCCCAACACGGGTCCCTCAGCCCATGAGTATTAGCGACGACTTCCACAGTTACGGGTAAGCAAATCAAACAATAATATGGACTCTGTAACCGCGACACTAAGCACACCTGCAAAAACAAACTGGTTCTGCCAGATGATGATAAATAGAACGCCGCATGTGGTAGAGCCCTGACCTCCGCCAAGTACGCTCTGCATAAATCAAAACTAGATAACACTCACTCAAAACAATAAGCACGCTTTGCTTCTGGTGGTACTCGCATTGGTTTCTACGCTGGATTGAGAGTGCAGGTCAAAGTGCCCGATTCTGTTTTGGGTCCTCTCTGATTCTGTTTGAAAGTACATTCGAGGAGACAGAACCGCCAAACGTGGCCTGTTCTGGATTGCTCAACCGTGACGGGAAATGCTGTGGGAGGGATTTTTTTTTGAAAATGTCAACACTTGCAGAGTTATAGAAATAGGTGAGATGGCTGTTGTTGTGCTCACTTACATGAATATCACTATTTTCCTAAAAAACTAATAATTAAAAGAAACCGACACTGATAACCGTGAGAGAAAGCGGGCCGATGACTCAGTGTTTTATGTTTAGCTGGCCTGGGCCTCGGTAATTCTTTACTGACAACTGCCTGCAATCATTCCTCAATTATCGACACCTAGATATCCACACAACATATTTAACGGTCTAAAGATTTGTGACGTTTTATTGTGCCTTTTTGGAGTTCGATAAAGTCTGCCCATTGATGCATTCGCGTCTGCAGAGGTTTGAAACATCTGTGGACAAAAAAAGGTTGCGCAAGGCACACCTGAAGCTCGGTCCGCCACTGCCTGGAGAAAGAGGTTTCACCTCACACCGGACAGTAAGAAGACGGCAAAGAGAATCCTTTGGCGCTTAGCTCGACTTCAGAGAGAGCCCGCACAAAAAACGCCTCTCATCCTTCATCGTGTCTTCCCATCTTTCCGTGGCTAGTGTAGAATTACAGCTGACTGTATCTGATGTAGCCAGCTATGAGCGCATACGAGCGTGTTCATAGCCCCCGGCATCTGGGTTACCTTTGTAGGTCAGGGTGTGGCGGCCCAGATCACAGAGTACTGTGAACTCTTTGTCTGCATACTCCATCTTTCTACCTCCGCTCTGGATACATTTGATATAGTGCTGACATATAGCTGGACAATTAGTCCGGGGCACCTTCGACCAGTGCAGGTGGCTGCACAGTGAACAATATTATTCTCTCAGTCACTTCTTTGTTGCCTTGGCTGTGTGATTAGGGCCGTTGTATACTTTCACCCCAGCCTGAGACTTCTGAGCCCTTTGAAGCAGGTTTCCATCCAGAACGTCTCTATCCATTGCTGCAGTCATCGTGGCCTCAAGTTTTCCAGTTCCTACCGCTGATAAATATCCCCACGGCATGATGCAGTCACCAGCATGCTTCACCGTTCACTGTCCAGAAGGTTTTGGTCAAGTGATGAGCGGTGTCTGGTACCCTCCAAACACGATTCCTGGCAGTCACGCCAAAGACTTGAGTCTTTGTCTCATCAGACCATCATCTGAGAGTCCTTCAGGCGCCTTTTGGCAAACTCCACGCGGGCTGCCTTTTACAAAGGGTGGCTTCCATCTGGCCAGCTGCAGAGATGATCGTCCTGGAACGTTGTCTTCTCTCCACAGAGGCGCAACACCAGATAAACATACTGAATCCATGATCGTCTCAGTTCAATTCACTGAAAAAGGGACTTACCCGGTGTTAAATCTGGGCCTTACTTGCAGGAAGCTCTGACTTTGGTATGAACGGCAACAAGTGGATACAAATATTTATTGTACTTTCTGCCCTCTAGTGGAAGACCATTTAATTTGTTGTGCCCTTCACTACGGTGTACAGTGTGACACTGGCAGAGCTATGTCAACACAGATACGGTATATTTGCTATTCAGGAATAAATATTAACATTATTTTCCACAGCACTCCTGATGTCGCCATGACATCATGATTTGAAAATAGCGACTTCACACTAATTGCTACTTTCTATAAAAAGATAAGGGAGTGTATGTCATTGGTATGCAAGCAGTGGCCAGTCCGTCTTGACTTTCCATTGCTCGCCCTGACCTTTGACCCCTGACCTTATGTTGCTCAAGCTCCGGATTGGCCAGTTTGCTTTTCTGCTGACCCCCGTGGGCACCTTTGCAGACCACCAAGTGAGGGAGATAAGAAGGAGGCGGAGGACAGCAGACCGAAAAGAAAAAGTTGGAGAGAGCGCCTGACACGTGCGCCTTTCTCAAAATCAACAACCAGATGCGTTTAAATTGTCAGCCGCGTCTCCATTCTCGTTTCTTTTGACAATTTGACGCAACATGAAACTCGTTTTCAACTCAAACAAGGTGGAGAAAAATGCGCAAAGTGTATGTGTGCAGTGGGGCCACCTTGAAATAGCAAATTTAGTGTTCCGACTTTTCAATTATTCACCTGGAGACAACCTTACTGAGCGGCCCGCAGGTCCACTTGTTTGACTCAACCTCGGCACTGGACAGTACCGGAATATGTTAGATACTGACATCTGTTGGCTGCCTTGTGACATTGCATCGCCTCGTCTTTCCGTAGTTCCGCAGTTCCACTTTCCTTCCCCACACGCAAGCTCGTATGGTTTCCTCCCATGGTAAAGTCGGCCACATGCGGTGATGTTAATTGTCATGCGGGGAGGCAAAAGAACAACAGAAGCCAGGAAAAGACTGCGGTGAGAGCAGCCTCCCCTTTCCACTTTTGACTCTTTCTCCGGCGTTCCCGCTTTGTGCGCGCTTTGTGGAGCACGTCGGTCATGCAAGCAGAAAATGTCAGCAAAATAAGCAGAATGAAAGAGTCAAAGTTGGCTGCGGTTAGTTTGCGCCGACTGGAAGGCCACAGTGTTCGACCTCCGCATTCCGACCACACGTCACGTCCAGTCCTTTTGCTGCTCTTGTTAAACTTGCTCAGCTGTGGGTGGATTTTGAAATGTATTCTTGTGCAAGATTATCCTCTACCTGGTGGATGACATTCAAGGCTGTTGTCGTTCATCAGTTTGGGCGTCTGAGGCAAACTCGGAAACCCCCGTCGGTCTGACCACATTGGCAAGCAGTCATGTTGACATGGGTGTTGTCCAAACGGTTGGGACAAAGAGGCCAAGGGAAGGCTGACGGAGGGGCAGGTGGACTATGCGCTGAACGTTCGGGGACATCCCGTGAGGTCAGAATAGGAAAAGATCAGTGTGACTGTGTGGTCGGGGCTGTGTGGCATTATGCAACGGGACTGCTTCCCGCATGCCGGATCGTCGTTTACAAGAAATGACCAATGCTCATCATGTTCCCACATACTCATCAAAGTCAGCTCTTTTGTCAAAACATTCAATGCATAATGCATTTAGTCATTGACATCATGTCTTGCATCATCAGAATCAAGTGTGGAACAAAGTACAAATAACGGTCTACTGCTGCTCCCAGCCACAGTCTGTCTGGCCTTCTGTTGACAATGCATGCAAATGACACTATAATGACACTATAAAAAGATTGCCAAAGGTGTTTTAATGGTCTGCAACATCAAAATACTCTCAAACCGCGTGTGTTCGACTCTACAAAAGTTGCATTACAACTTCAAATGAGAGGCAAAGCTCTTTTTCCGTACTTTTGGGCAAGCCAAGCATGTGGGGAGTGTCCAACGTTAGCGTCACACTATCACAAGGCATCGGCAAGTGATAATGAGTATATGCAGTGCCAACATTTAAAAAAAATAAAATAAAAATTATATGTATAAGGAGCAAACATGTTTGCACGCAAATGTCACATGGAGGTGAAAATAACTCCTTTTGGACTCCGCCCACTTGTGGTGCAGTTACGGAACAGCGATTGTGAGAAAGCTCCAGAGTGCATATATATAATTAGGCATTTTAGGTTCCCCGCACTAGTTAAATCCATATGTCCATCTTGTTTTTGGGAACCTCGAAAGAAAGGTAGAACGGTTCCAAATGCTTCTCAGAAAAATTCTAGAATGGAGAGAGAATCTAAATAATGAGCATACATTTTTGGTGAATGGCGCCTTCTGTTCTCTTACGTAATGAAATCCCTTTCGATATTAAAGCCGACGGGGTTTACAGCTGAACATGTTTGCTTTGTTAAGTACCGGCCTATGCTAATATTCCCGTGGGAACACAAGAGGAAGCTTAAAGGACTTTAACCAGCAACCTCATTCGTTGTCGTCCGGGGGATTTGAGCTAATGACCTCTTTCGGCTCTAAGCCTCCTGGACAAGGTCTACACTTGGAGACTCCAATGTGCCCAAACGTACACAATCATTTCAAAGTGTTTCGTGGCCCGATGCTACTGGGAGGGGGGAGAAAAAAAAAAAGAACAGGCAATGCATCTGTGTTTTGCGAGCGTTGTGTGCCGTAGCTTGTGTGTGAAATTGTCAGTGGACTCACAAGGGTGGGCGTGATGATGATGATGATGGTGAGGAGAGGGAGCAAGTCAAGGGGTGGGGGGTGATGAAGGGAGAGAGACAGACAGAGAGAGAGAGAGAGAGAGAGAGAGAGAGAGAGAGAGAGAG